TTTTTAGGCAATTCGCAACTAAGTTTTTGCCATTTAATCAAACCTAGTCGAGCTGAAAGTTCAAGGGGTTTTGATATTCTTGTATAATTATGTGTGAGTTCAGCCGTTATTCTCATCAGTTAAACTCAGGACCTTCAGCTCTTAAAAATGGATCCGCCAACTCTACCCCACAGTATTTGAAACACAAAGATGTGGACGATCAGTTAAAAAGTGTCATAGTTGTATGCTAAATCAAATTGATGCCATTCCGTTCCAGTTAAATCTAAAAAAATTCTTGGACTTTCTCCTATTTAGATACAATCTTCTCCAAGGAGCGGTCGGTGCAGTTGTTCAGTAATGTCACCCTCATCCCGAAGAAAAAGACCTGCTGGGAGACGCATGACTCTAGCAGTTGCAGCTCGTGAATCATTCTCCTCCTTTCTTTCCTTTGGCAACCAATTCCGCTTTCCAGGTTCAAGAAGTGGAAATCGATCCAAGCGCAGTAGTCTCTTCTCTCTCTCCGAACCGCAGAATCAGCAACTGCGTCAGCACCATCGTAATCACCAACACCATCCTCATCCTTTTATGCATTTGCATTTACATCATTCACCAATCCGAGATCAGGAGGAAATCTCACCTCTGGCTCAGCCAAAGAGATGTCTAGGCGGTGAAGGCGTCAAACAGAGCGATCGCTTTTCTAGTCTGGATGATATCTTCCACCGAACTTACTGCGCCAGGGCGCAGTTACAGCATCCAGAATGCAAGGATAGTGATGTGGAGGTAGCAAAGAAGGGGGAATGAGAGTGGTGTGGTGCAAATCTGAACTCGCATGTGGCTATTGTGATTTGAAAAAGAACTGACGTGTGCAATGTTTTAAGAATACCTATGTGCATACATACAACCTTTTATTCTAGAACGATGTGGAAAGGGAAGAGATAGAATCTTGACACAGCTTTTGAAGTCTATGAAAAACATCTGGTCCACTCAGGGTATCTCACTATTTCCCATAAATTTATTTATTTTTTCGAACTGTACTTCACCTACTTTCTTTTTCTTAGTTTAAAATGACTTTGTTCCCAAAGTTATCACGATAACTGGGCAAATTACCTTCACTCTTTAAAGCCTTAGGTATTCACAAAATCGTCAGTGCAAGCATATTCTTGTTAAATTTGATGTTGATAAGTTTTCTAATGGAACCACTGTAACATATGATTCGCAAATCACGAACGGTTTTTCAATCATATCAGTGAGTCGGTATATGAAACTCGATTCTTGGAATCATCTTACTCAGAATGGCCTAGGGATGGGGGGCTATTTGCACTTATCCTCCACCTTGGAGTTCTCTGCGAACGCCGAAAGCACCCTACCAC